TAAATATAAAAGAAAATATATATTAAGGTGCAATCGTAATAGTAAGAAGCGGTCGCATTTCAGAATTATTTCTTCTGTACGCGACGTACATACAAACAAAAACAAAAGACGCTTATGTGAGTATACGTTTTACGTGTATATATATATAATATAATATATAGTGGATGAAGCAATTAAGGGAACCCCGTGACAAAGCAACTTTCACGGTGAACGGAAGTTTTTCAATTTCGTCTTCTGGTTCGAAGGGTTTTAATAGAGAGACTATAATATATATATATACGTACGCTCGTCGCAATACACGCAAGGTAAACCCGTTTTCATAGTTTTCTATTATGTATTATTTATATATATATACACTCAGCATTCGCGGATTATATGCATGCGCACTGCACGCAATCAAGGTGATCTATACACGGCAATGATGATCAATATTCACTGTTATAGTATCATCAGTTTGTGTATTTTATTTTGATTGATATGATATCGTAAACATTTTTTTAAATTGTATTATTTTATATTTAATTATTACTAAGCATAATATAAGTACATACATATTATCATCAATGCCGTTAATAAATTACGAACGTGTGTAGATCACGCGAAATGTTCGTGCCACGCTTTAATAATGATCTTCGAACGATCGGAGAATAGCCGCTACTTGCAGCTGCCGACAGTTTTATTTGTTTGCGAGTGCCGGAAACGATGATCTAGGGTAATCACTAGCGTTCCGCTGCTAACCGGAGTTAACCTTAAGTTAACGAACGATTTCATTTTAATTATGCTTTAACTACTTACTAATATAATTGATCAGGTTTTAACTCGTTGTAGACCGAGATGTAGATTGTAAACGGAAAAATGAACAATTAAAAAAATAATAATTTATGGTAGCTTTTAATTGTAAAGTAATATAGTATGATGCCTTTTTTATTGCCTTTTTACGTAACAAATATTATAATTATTTTTTGTGTATCGTACCTTCAAAATAAAACTTAGATAAATTTGATTATTTTGTAAGAAAAAAAATTGTTTAATCTTTACCCTCACATAAGACTATTAAAGATTGTAGACCTAATCATACGATTTTTAGTTGCAATCTAGTGTTTATCTAATGGCATATTATGTTACAAGAGAAAACATTCTTTACGTATTAGGTCATATAACAAACATGTATTAGCTATTGTTTTTAAATTGTTTTCGGAGTATACGCAGCTTTGTAATAATAGTCCAAACTACTTGCCAGTATACTTTTTAGTTAGTGACAAAATATTAAAATCATAGTATTTTAATATTGCACGATTTTATTTAAAGACAAAGTACCTATATATATATACATATATTATTGATTCATATTTTTTAACAGCGCTGTTCTGTATATCCAAGTATATATTTTATTATTACACTACCTAACAAAATTCCATATAAGAATGACATATACGACAAAATTGGTCAAAGCTATATAAATATAATATACTAGAGTCTAGAGGCAATAGAAAGTATACCATCGTTAGGTAGGTATAGAATAAAAATATGATCAACGTTTAAAAGTTTCATAAAGAAAATAAAACTACTCAGAGCACTTGGCCACTGAAAACTCAAAAATTGTTTAATTATTTACATAAGGAATTAAGAAATTCTTAAAATGAATAATATAGAGTATACGAGAACATAATTTTGAAGTCACAATCGTGTCGAAATTCACAGTTATGAATTCGTTCGTTGTCTTTGAATATACGTTGTATACGTTATATCTAATACGAATCATGATCGGTGTTATTACGAATATATATCTTATATAATTTCATAATATTTTATCAACATAATATTTCAAATAAAATGTATTTTTAGAATATTATAAATATAAGTACATTTAGATAGATATTACTATAAGGACGCTCACTTGGAGCATTATTTGTTTTACTTGGATAATATCATAAAAGAGATATAATTAATTCAATATTTCGAGCACAGCATCGTCAAAAACGCAAAGTAATAATTTAAACTTGGGATGAAATATTTTCACACATTTTTTTATTATATTATTATTATACTCTCACCAGCTTTATGTTATATGCCAAATGATAATTATTTTAACGTGTCTGTTAATATGACCATGGCTATAGAGTAGACACAGTAAGTTTCTTACGAGATTCATGGTGAAAAAAATTACATTTTTTAACCATCCTTGATTTTAATTTATGTTTCGTTTATCAAGGGCTTTTAATAATAATTAATCACGGTATCATGATTATACTGTGATTTGAGTACAAATCTAATTTGAAAATGTCACAGTATCCATCAGATATTTTCATTATCTCGCAACCCGATAAAATATGTTGGTGTTTTCGTGGGGAAATTTCACGTTTGTTAATAATTAGGTATGTGTATATTGCTGCAGCTAGCCCAGCTAGGGATGTAGGGTGGATTGAAAACAGAAACAAATATTCATCAAACGTATAATTATCATCCATCAGTGCTATATATAGTATTGGTCAATGGATATAAATAATTTTTGATAGATGTCAGCTGCTTTAAAACCTTCGGAGTGCAATGCCCTAACAAAGAAAAAAACAATCGAACTATTCTTTATTATTACAATTGAATTTTCTTTTTTTATCAGAGTTTTTAAATACTCGATGTCCGATAAAAAAAAAATGTTCCACGCATTTATAATACATATACTATATGATATATATATATATATATATATATATATATGATCTATTTATGATATTTAAATATTCTATATACATTTAAAGCTATCAACATTTCTTCGAGTGACCAGGTTTCTTAGAAAAATATATCATAGACTAAAATATTGCGTATTTTGCCAATAGCGGGTAGAAGCGTGATTGCCGATTTACAGGTTTTGAAAGAATGAAAATTTCAATTAAATTATATATATATATTTTTTTTTATTGATTTTAGGTATACCAACATTAACATCGGCAGCTGCGGCTATTAGTTATTGTATCAATTACAATCTTTTACTAATGCATAAAGTTTCTTAAATTATGTTATTTAAATTAAATTGTACAATTTAGATGTTAAATCATAATATTATGTAATATGTATGTTTTATATGTATACATATTTATATTAATGTATACACATTTGATATCTGAACGCACTAACCCGTTGTCTGCGTGTTAACGATGATAAAAGGAATGATTGTACTATTTGTACATACGCATAATAACATCATAAATTCATAACAATCATAATTTATCATGACGTGTGGGGTATTAAACATCTTAATTTGCAAACAAATATTACAGAATTGTATACAGTTCATTGAACATATTGTCATGACTTTGGTTAAAATCAGTATAAGAAAAAAATGTTTTTTTTTTAACCACATAATATAGTTGTTAATATTATATTATATTGTGATATTAATTTTAATTATAATTATATTTATCCATATACCTATATTTTAATGATATACTGATATATATAATATAAACATAATACCTAATATATTATAATAATTATGATTGTAAATCATAACGATTGATGTGGCGATGCGGTAATCCTTTACCGTCGAAGTTAAACACGGAAATTATACTTCATATGTCATATCACTATATCAGTACTCACGAGTCAGATAAAGCGTATAAAAAGCGTATATTGCACGAGTAATATAATTTTTGAAAACTTTACAAGCATTTTTTTTATTTAACTCATAATATTATATTAATATTATATGATACTATATTAAGTGTACATAATATCATAATCATGTCGAACATACCGCTATCGACGTTATCAATGTTATTAAACGTTTTTTCTTTTTTTCATTTTCATCGTACAATATTGTAATATGTGCATAGCATTTTTCGATATTATCAGCTCAAACGTTAGTATAATTGCACCTTTATTCTCAGACGTTGACCGTTGGTGACCGAAGATACACTATAATAATTAATAATAATTTAAATATATTAATCATCACTACGCAGTATTGTGTGTATTATTTTAATAGTTTAATATTCGTTTTAAAAACATTCAGGTCTTACCTCAGCCGAAGAGTCAAAAAAATTATCTAATATGTACAAGTCAAAAAGAATTCGAAGATAGAACTAAAAACGCTAGTTTTTACTCACGCGGGTATGAGCGGCGCACTCAAAACTATTAAACTCGAACAGAATATCATATCATTTAATAACATTATTAAGTGTATGTCACATCAGCATGTGTTGTCTCCGTCGTACAACTACGTAGCATACCAAATTTTAGGCTCAGTAAATCACGATTATCTCCTTTAGTTTAAAATTTAGAGTGAATTGAACTATTATAATAATTAAAGGCAAGATTATTATCTAGGGCATCTCATGGGATTTTTATTATATTTTAATTTTAAAGCGAGTTATGAATATTTTAAAATTGTTAATTGTTCGTATATCTAAAAATACTCATTAATCGATTTAAAATTATGATATAATAAAAATATAAAAAGCCCAAGAGATGCCCTARATAATAATCTTGCCTTTAATTTTGATAATAGGTCAATTCACTCTAAATTTTAAACTAACGGAGATCTACTGAGCGTAAAATTTGGTATGCTATGCACTTGAACAACGGAGACAACACTTGCGGGCGTGGCGTCCTCTTAAGGTACATTATGCGTCTATAAAATATACCTGTGTTTGTTCAAGCCATGTTTATGATAAAAATTGTTATCTTTACCACTCGCACGTTTTGTTTGTTATGCGATAAGGTTTTGGGGTGGTGGGGAGAAAGATAAACGGCCGGGTGGAGGGAAAACATTTAGAAACGTTGTCGTCGCTTGTCGCTTGTCTTTTCTCATAAGCCACAATTTGTCATCTGTAAGTGTTTTGGAATCATCGTCGCCGCACCGCCGACGAATCGTGTTCAGTGTTCACGCGTGTGGTCGTAAATAATAATATAATAATGATAATATTTTAGCGTCGGTGGTGGGTGCAACGAGTGGCCGTTACTCGCGTACTCGAAAAATAATATTTTATTTGTGATTGGAGTGAATCCTATTATCAGAGTACAACGCCACCGCGCCGTGAGTGCAATCGAAAACTGTTTAAGAATAATTCCGCCGCTATGGCGAGCATTCGCACAGATTTCTTGCGTTACCCGACCATTCGTTTGTTTTGGACAAAGAGACCTCATAAAATGTGCAAGGTTTCGTGAAAAATAATTTCTGTGTACAAGTTCGCTTTTTGATTCAATATATCACAATAATAGTGTGGCGTTTGTGCGCTTTATTACTCTCACGAGAACAGACTTGTTCACATCCTCAAACAGCGGACAGCTATAATATATACACACAGCCTATATTGCAAGTATTTTTCGTGTATACCATTGGATTAACCTAGTCACAATATAGTTGCTTATTCGTTCTACTAATTTCCTGTAAGTTTTAAACTTCAATATATTATTTTGTAATATGTTTATTTATGATGGTTTCATACTGTTATCACACTTAATTTGTTTATAAAGTTGTMCAATGTAACCGCAATAGTTATAATAATAATTGTAGGTAGCAGTATATTAATGTCACGCGATTGTTGTTAATACTTTAACGCTTCAAGATTCTGACAATATTCGTCACGTTATTATCATATAATATTGATAATTTTTGATTGAATGCTTTTTTTTAGTTAATTTTTTCTTGATGTTAATACATTACTGTAATTTAAAATTGTACTCAGAACACATATACTTATTATGCCAACAGGTATAGATTGTATATTTTCAAATAAAGAAAAGAAAAAAAAATTGTTTTCTTTGGAGATGACTGTGATTACAAAAATTATAAATGTATACTAAGTAATACATGTATTATAAGTACTGAGTATAATATACAATCATTGAAACATACAATTGTATGTACCGTATTTAATGTACAACGGTGTATGAAAATGGAATATTCTAATCAAAATTTAACGTATTTATTTATAAGAAGGTAAAATATAATTATCAATTCATCTTAAAATAAAATAATTTTAGTCTTACAAATGATTTATAATTGTTTTTGAATTCTGAACTTACTAATCCATTGTAGACATTTAACATTTAATTTAATATAATATATTATTATTAAAAATTATTTTTCTCAATGTAAAGTAATCTCTTCTATTCAATTAATCAAATAAATATTAGCTGAATTATGATCAAACTATGATCTTGCGTTATGCCGGTCAGAGTTTGAATTGTACTTTTATCTCTGTGGTTTTCAATAAATACTATCACGTTTTAAAATTATGTTAGATTAACAAAAATCGGTATCACAGTTTTATATTATTCTTAACGGATGTTTATAAATTTTATTTTGGGCAAAGGTACATATAATGTGTAGATAACTTTCAAATCAAGTATTTAACATTGATTTTATTTACAGGACGAACGATAGGTATTAATTTKAGTCAAAATTCCAAGTTCTAATTAAATATTATAACTGTAACCATCTATTTTCTAAACAATAATAGACCATCGCCAGTTTGTTTTATGATGGAATGCAATTATTATATATATTTCTAAATAGTTAGATACAATAGAAAGTAGAATACTATAGAATTTTTTAATAATTTTAAATGGAAATAAATGAACCATGCACATATATCACGTGAAATATTCAATAGTTTATAGTTAGCATGTAGGTGTATTAATCATTTCTATATGCAACTGCGCGTGACCCATACGAATAACGTTCATTACAAGTTCTTTATTTCGTTGATAGACGGGTTTTAATATATTAATATTATTTATTTACTTATTTAATCTATATTCTATAAAGAATTATGTTTCGACATTCAGACTCGTCGCACGTGTCGTATTCCTTTAAACACACCAATATTGCCGCTCATCGTGCCACGACCTTTTCTCGATCTCAATTAGAGTAACTATAGTTAGTTTACATACACCATACACGTGCATGCATACAAGAAGTATAGAATATAGAATATAATATATTAAATATTACGTATAAATCTAAAGGTCCACGCGTTTGAATAATACACAAATTGACGTAAGTAGGTATTTGGTACATGGGTATTTTACATGTACGTTATTATACCAAATATGTGCCAAACTGTAAAACCACGTTTATACTATATTATAACATTTTTCCTCTGTAACTCCAAACCGGTTCACAATGCGCTCATCTTGCCGGTTTGTCTAAAAATTCGTATTAATCAGAAAAGCCTATAAATTATAGACACAATAGATTTTCTATAATCTATTTTTCTTTTATTATTATATATTTTATTTTGCACTAATAATTACTATTTCAAGACTTAATGCACATCTATACGATGAACAATATACTATTATTTATATAATATTGTTTTAATATGCTTATAAGGGCACTCGGATTACAAGATAACTCGTCTTTGATACATAGTATCCATATTATGATAATGAATGATATGTTGAACGACGTTCACACGACGTATGTGATTATATTATTATGATATTTTTACATTAGATTACCAACTTACCATCTATTCAAGAATTCAAGATAGTATCTAAACCGAACGCACCGACCGTAAGTCGGTTTGCATACACGCGACGCCTTGCAATAAACTTGTTGTTACCATATATTATACACGTGATATTTATATAGCTGACTAGCATAATACATTAATACTAATTAATAATATTATTACTACTATTCAAATAGCGAATTAACCAAATACCAGATAATTTATAATTCTGTTTATTTATTTAATTTGTTTTTAGTATAGGTATTTCAATGTTTTAAAGATAATATTTTAGCGATCGCAAGTCGCATTAATAAGTATTAAACGTTATTAGTTATTACTTAAAGTCTATACACAGTATAAAGTAGAATAGTCATATAGAACACTTTTTTTCTAATAAATGCACAAAAGTTATTTTTTATTTAACATTCAAAAAACTAAACACGCATTTTCCACTTGATTCATGTGTTTAATTAAATCTTTTTGAATGCACGAGTCGAGTTTTATTATTAGTTTTTCGTTATTTCTACGACTTCGTGAAAATCTTTTCACATGGCTTCGTAGTTCGTATGCAGCCATCATTATAAAAATTATTTTTATATACTGACCTACGGTCACTGCAACCATTGATTTTTCATTTTAAATAAATATTTCTAAAAATAGTCTCAATTTCTTCACAACGTCAAGCCAAACTCTTCGTTAAAAAATGTTTTACCGCTATATTTTTCTATTTTGTGTAGATATACTTTTCTCTTGCGTATATTATTATTATTAGGCATGACTAAGAAATACTTATAAATAGTAGTTTTAAGCATTATCTTAGGTTAGTATAACATTCGTCTTTAAAATAAGTTGAATATAATATTATTAAGATATTATTTGTCAAGTATAGATTGCGTAGGAAATTAAAATAATTATTGTTTATTAATTAAATGTGATTAAAAGTGGACAAATATAATAGAATCTATTGTTTTAATATTATTGAAGCTGTTATGAGTATTCGTTTTATTTTTATATTTCTGAATTTTAAAATGTATTAAACCTAATTTGTAACCCAGCTTGTCTTTTTGGTACTGTAGTAAAAAATTATTTGATACAACTTATTTTTACATTCATAAAATATTAAAATGTATTAAGGTGTGATATTAAATATTATTATTTATTAATATAGACAAACTTTTAGAAAACTGACGTGATGATGAGTGACAGTTAAAATTAAAATTACCATAAATATTCATATAGGATATAAGTGTAAGATACATATGAACATAAATTTATGTTAACATTAAACATAGTCATTGATTTTAATATGTTTTGACATAGGTAGTAAGTAAACATACTGAACATTACATTTTTCCGGTTAACAAATTATTATATCTCACTCTTATTTGGCGTGCTATAATATTATTATTTATTATAGGAAGTCCGTAATAGAATAGATTTCATTGACTGTTGCTTAATGCAATTACTACAGAATAATTTAAAAAATGCATATTTAAAAATAAATTAGAAACTGTGTGCATTATATATTTAAATAATGTGTAGGTACTCTTATACCTATATATATGCATCGAAAGCAAAAACAAAATTTAATTCTTTCCAGTTTTAGTAGTTTAATATATCACATTTTGCATMTATCAGTTTCCAATAAATAATGTTATATTATTTTCCATGTATAAAATTCTTCTATAACTTTTAATGCCCAACTATTCTAGTATTTAAACTCTAATACGATATAATATAGTGAACATGTATTTAGCCGATATAATGAAGTGTGAGTGTATATGTTTATAGAAACTGTAATACAAATTACAATATTAATAATTCATTATTAATACCGTCGATGGGTTAAGGTTCAAGTATTAAAAAATTA